GATATCGGTGTAATGGGGCCACAAATATCGGCATGTATCAATTGCAGACTTCGTGATGCTCTCCACTGACTTTTCTTTGGCATTGCTTCTCGATGCTGTTTTCCCATATTGCAAACAGTACATACAGTGTTTGCAGCTTTGAGTTGAGGCAAGCCTTTCACTAGTTGCTTGTACTGTAAGGTTCTAAGGCTTTTGTTATTCAGATGACCATATCTTCGATGCCACAGATCAGTGATGTTGTCAGCAGCTGCTTGGAAACATGTTGATGACTGAGGTACCACTTTTGCCAACAATACAAACATTCTGTTTGTTGACATTCTTGTTTGCATTATGAGCCCTCTCCTAGGATGATAGATCTTACACACTCCTTTTTGTATCAGGATAGTCAACTCCTTTTCTTGCAACTGACCGATGCTAAGTAAGTTGTTTTTCAAATCAGGAATATAGAAGACATCTGTTATTACCTGAGTTATTCCCCCAACTTCCAGCTTGATGTTTCCTCTTCCCATCACTGGCATCATTGAGTCATCTCCTAGCTTCACCGAGTGCCTGAAATGCTCATCAAAATCAAGAAACCACTGCTTGTTGCCTGACATGTGGTTTGAGCATCCAGAATCAAGGAACCATATTCCTTCTCGGCTTGTGGTATGAAGCTCTACATAGGACATTAGCAACAGCTCCTCCTTTTCGTCCAACTCAGCATAATTAACCCTGTTGTTCAAGCTAGGGCATTCGTATTGGAAATGCCCCAACTTATGACATTTGTAACACTCAATCAAAGCTTTATCAAAGCTTTGTCTTCCTCGACCTCGTCCTCTCCCTCTATGGTCACCTCTTCCTCTGCCTCTTGCTTCAACTCTATTCTCAGAGGTGATCTGCAGTGCCTGTTCTTCACTGTGCTGTCCATTCATTCTCTGCTCGTGCACCAAGAGGCTGCTTTGAAGCTCATCTATTGTCAATTTGTCGAGGTCATTTGACTCCTCAATTGAACAGACAACATAATTGAACCTCCTCGTCATTGACCGCAAAATCTTCTCTATGATTATCACTTGTTCCATCTTCTCCCCATGCGCCTTCATCTTGTTCGCAATAGTAAGTGTCCGAGCAAAGTACTCATCCACTTTTTCACTTTCCCTCATCTGTAGCACCTCGAACTCTCTCCGTAACGCTTGCAGTTGGGCTCTTTTGACCCTTGTAGATCCTTGGTATTTCTGTTTCATGGAGTCCCAAATACTCTTAGCCGTGTCTTTGTTGAGTATTGTCTCCATTATAGTCCGGTCAATAGCCTGAAACAAGTAGTTCTTGACTTTGAGGTCTTTCATCTTTTGATCCTCAATCATCTTGCGCTGAGCCTCGTTTGGTTCCACTCCTTCAGCTGGCACAGTGATTCCTTGATCGACCAAACTCCAGTAATCCTTCGAACGAAGAAGGTTCTCCATCAACATCGACCAATGGTCATAGTAACCATCGAATTTGGGTATGGCCGGCTGAACAAAATTCCCTTCTGCAGCCATAACTCTCTCTCTTTCTGTGCTCTTTCTCTCTTTCTTCTCTCACAATCAAGTCCCAGTAGGGGCTCTGATACCAAAATGTAGAAAAATCAAACTCAAAGCAACAGTATTATCAAACTGTAGAGAATGATTCTTATTCAAACTGAATATAATCTTGGCTCTTATATAGCCATTACATTGAAGCAAAATTGAACAGATGCAGTCCACGATTTACAATCCTAAGATCGTGGTAGATACCTAAAGAAAGGGTCAATACTCTTAACAGATTTCCTAATAAATAGGAGTTATTGACTCAGCAAGAATAAAACAAATCCTAACAACTCAAATACTAACAGCACAAAGTCCTCTTTCTCAACAGGGGGAATGTGGGTCTTGATTAAAAGTTCAAAAGCAAACATGTAAAGAATTCTTCTTGAAGGTCACTGCAAGAATCTTTTCACATTCTTTTTCCTCTCTTTTTACCCTTTTCTATTCCTCTAGAGGGAACACTTCCATAAATATCAAGGTTCCAAAAGCTGGCCATGTTTTGAGTGGGTTTAAAGAATTAGAAAAGTGCTTGATAATATAAAAAGTTAGCACGGCAATAGATGTTACAGACCGTAGAAAGAAAGAGTTCTCATGCAATTCGCACTGTCAAGTCAAGTGCTAGTTAGTACAAGTCAGTTTCAATTAACCCAAATTCTGGCATTTTCGACGACGAGTTGTCAATCTTCAAGCTAAGACAACATTCCGCCAACATTATTCTGAGGGCAAGAACAAGTTTTTTGTAAAATCCACATAATATAAGGCAAATCAAGGAAAGTGAGTGGGTTGGTAGCAATTCAAGGGCAAGAATAAGTTGAAAGAAAAAGGGAACATGTGAAAGGCCCACATGGTAGCAATATCTAGAGCCCCTTTATTCCCCTCTTGACCTAGAATTGAAAGAGGTTGGCATATTACTAGCTTCTCTTTAGTACTAGTCTCTCTAAGTTTTTACTCTCCTTTGCTTTTCCTCTCTAATATGGGTGTAGATTCTATGAAAAGAATCATACACCTTATCACATAATTTTAATTTGGGTGTTTTGTTTATCAGTAATATTACGCTCATCAATTTTTTTTTTGTTCTAAGTGATGTGATATAATATTTATCATTGAATATTAATGAGACCCACTTATTTAATGGTAAAAACTGTACCATATCACTAGAGATAAGATAAAAAAAACTTGAAAAGAAATTTTAGTCAACATATTTGTGTCATTTATTTATAGTAACTAGAACACGAAGCACGTGGATGCATAAGCCAGATACGGTTGGATTATATAAAAAATTATAAAGTTGCTACTTGTACTAAATTTGAAAATCTAACACACGCCTAAATTAGATTTTAATAAAATTGTTTATACATAAAGTACCGTTCAATTTAGTCTTATTAAGGCGATTTAGAAAAAGTCAGATACAAATCTACTTTTAAACTAAATTTTAACCATTAAACCATTCTTATTATTAAGAAAATAAAATATACTTTTTATATGGACCCAAACTGAAAGACAAAATCTCTCATTGCCAGTAATAGATAGTCCACTACCAACCTCCCATGAGATTCCCTCGTGCAGCTGTAACATCTCATTTAAGACTTGTAAGACCATCTCTAACTATAATTTAAATTTAAGTTTAAACTCAATTTTTTTAAAAATTCTATTACTGTCGCAAATCTCTTTTTTTTTTTTCTTAAATATTCCTATCAAAGTATTTTATCTAATATTAAAACTTATTTCTTATAAACTTCATTAATATTAACCAAAAGAAAAAACAAGAATACCAACTCTTTGAGTGGTAGATTTATAAATTTTTTATAGACCATGAGAGAAAGAGTAAAAAAGTTACCATCGAAGGATAGACAGTGCGGTTGGTGGCAATAGCAACGATTTTGAAGATGGAGGTAAGAGAGGGAATAACGTATTCCACCGAGGGAATTATATGAGTTTAGAGAAGAGAAAAAGTTATCGTTGAAAATTTAATATAGAAGTTATCGTCGAAAATTTGATATAGAATTTGAGTCTCTCTTAATTTGAGTCAAGAATAATTTTTTTCTTGATTTGGTATAAATTTAAAGAAGTTTTTTAGATTATTTAAAGTCAAATTTAAATTTAAATCTAAATTTAAGTCAAAGTTAGAAATACTTTAATATAATTTTTTTTTTCTGACTTCTTTCTCTGGGAAATGAAGGCCTTCCTTAATGGTTGGTTCGGTGGAAAAGTGGGTGGACGAAAAAATGGTGGATAGAAAATGAAAAATGATATTTTCTTTTGTTTGGTATTAAAAGAAAATTGAGAAAAAAGAAAAATTGGGTGGAAAACATATCCTTGGGCTCACCATTTTTAATCCACTCCACAAATGGGAGGAAAGTGGAAGGAAGGAAGGAAATGTGTGGCCCACATATAAGTATATCAAATTAGTGAGTCCTACATCAAATTATTAATTTCTTGACTTTTTTATTCATTTTTTTTAACAGATGGACATATTTTATTTCCTTCCACTTTTCCTCTGATACTAAATAATAAAAAATTAATTTTTTCAACTTTTCATCTGTAGGACAAAACACCAAAAAATTAGTGTTTTTCTTTCCTCTAAAGATGAAAAATTTATTCCTCACATTCTTTTATACTTCTAATTTTTTATCCCTTCTACCAAACAGAGCATAAAAAAAAATATTTGCTCTCACCAACTATACGAGATATAACCTTGGTCGCAACATTAATAGCTTAGCTCTTTGCTTCCCATGGGCTACTTTTTTTTAAAAAAAAAAAAAGAGAGCCTTTAAAAATTATAAATTAACTTTTGAAAACTATAATTTTCTTAATTAATAGCAAAATTTTAAAATTGATAATGCGTAGTTTGCACTTTAAAAAATTATAACTTAACTTTACCAAAATTATAATTTTCAATTAAAAAATACAATAGTCTTTTCCCCACACTGCATATCTTCTTTCCTTAGGAAAAAAAAAAGAAAGAGAAGTATGTATTATGTCTGAATTATTTACTTATGCAGTGAGACCCAGAACCCCTAATGTTAAACACACTGATCAATCAAGACACAATTAATCCCATTAATTAGCCATTTTTCCTCTGGGTTAACTATAGTTTCACCATGTGAATCCAAGCAATAAGTTCAAAGATCAGAAGAAATTCTAGACAGTGATGGAGGGTATAAATGCAGTGGAATTATCTCATAAACAACATACCAAATAATATTTACAAAAACTTTAACAACAAAGAAAAAAAAGCATGGTTTCCCAATTGTGACCATCTATAAAGACAAAGATCGCTGAGTTTTTTCATGCCAATCAGTAGAAAGAAGTATGATCTCACCAAATCGAGTCCCACGACAAAGAGCCTTCTGATTTTGCAGCTAATATAAAAAAAAAAAAGGTGGAATACAATTGTCATGGACTCAAACCCCATCGATTCCGACTAAAAACCGCTACAGTTTTTACTAATTTATCCTCTTTCTACGGTAAAAAGCCACTGGAAGAACCAGCCGAGTTGTCTTGCCTTACCTTGAGCTCAGTATCCGTCGGAATTGTTCCGCCGGCGCAGGAGATCGTCGGATACTCGCCGCACTTCAGACACCTAGTCACCGCCAGAATCTGTCGGCACGACGGACACGAGGAGTGCGATCCGAGCCACGTGTCAATGCAATTCAAGTGAAATCCATGTCCGCACTGTGGAAGCACGCGGATCTCGTCTCCGTCGACGTACTCCGCCAGACAAATCGCGCACTCCGCCGTGAATTTCCCCTCCGCGGTAGACTCGTAGGTGGACTTCGGCAGCGACTGTAGAATCTTCTTCTTCAGGCCTCTGTTCGCCGACTGTCGAGTGGTGGAGCTGCCGTTTGCGGTGGCGCTGCGGCGGAGCCAAGCGCAGCGAGCTACGGCTATGAGACCGACCACGCAAATTAAGGCGCATAGCAGCGCCGCGAGGATGACTACGAAGTCTGACTCTACTGCAACCGCTTCCGGTGGCTCCGCCACGGCCGACGACGACGTCGACGGTGTTGATGTGTTGGCGCTGGAGAGAAATCTAGCTGGACGAGTCATGACTCATCAGATTTGCACGTGTCCGTATAGGAAGAGAAAGATAAGGTTCTGGACTATGCTCAGATGTATATATAGCGCTGTGAGGAATACTAGTGTGCTCCTAAGTCCTACCTCCCTAATTACATTTGATTATGTTTATTTTATGATCAATCACGGTATTTTACAATTGATCATAAATTATTTTAAATAGTAATAATTTTGATGGGCCAAGCTCAAGGACCTAACTCAAATTATAAGGCTAGTCCGAGTTTATAATCCATCTCCAAGAGATCTATCAAGTCCAGTTTAATACGATCAACCCGAACAGACTCATCAAGAATCAAGGAACAACATTAGTAGGAAGTATGCAAGGTCATAAAAGAGTCTCCTCTACCACCTTAGAGTAAGGGTCATCCAAGAGTCTCCTCTATGCCACCAAGGGAACATCCAGGAGCCTCACCATCGCCGCTTGAAGAGAGTTAACATTCCTTCATCATTTGACCAAGTCTTTTTGAAAACATCATAACTTCCTTGCCCGTTGAGGAGAGGAGAGGTCGTCAAACTAGTTAATCACTGTTAAAGTCATCTCAATACGTTATGACTATTAAACAGTCTCAACCCATTATGACCGTTGATTAGCTATTTAGTTAATATCCATTATAAGACAACTATAAAATGTAAGTTCCGCTAACACTTAGGGGCATCACACTTATTTGAGTAAAAATCTCTTCTCTCCTTTCAAGGTTTGTAATCATTTGTTCTCCCTCCACATCAGAAATAATAAAATATTCGGTGACCCTTGACATTAGAAGTGGACGTAGGTCACATTGATCGAACCACTATAAACCTTGTCTTCTCTCTCCCTCTACTTATTTACTGTATTTTATACTGCATACTTGACAGGTGGTGTGCAAACCAATTTGTACATCATCAAATTTCACCTTTAAAAAAATATAATTTATGTTGAAAAATAAGGGTTAATTACACTGAAGGTCTTTAAAATATTAAGTTTATCTTATTTTGATCCTTAATATTTTAATTATATCATTTTGGTTTTTAAAGTATTGAATATCTATATAATAAAGTAGCTTACAATTCAAATCTCAAAAGATAAACAAAATAACTTTTGTTATTCGCAGTTGAGATCATTTTAAATTTTACTTTAAAATTAATCGAACGACTAATATTAACACTCTAAATTTAATAGGAAAAATAGATCCCTAAAGATGTGTTTGGAGTGACTTTTTAAAAGTACTTTTAAAAATTATTTCTCATAAATATTTAAAAAAAAAGTGTTTAAAACTGTCCCACCACTACCTCTACCACCACTACCACGACCATTGCCACCACCACCACCACCATCACCACCACCACCATCGCCGCCACCACAATCATTGTCACCCACCATAACCAACACCGTCTCCTACCACCACCACTGCTACCCACCACCTTTCACCCCCATTACAAATCGATGTTTAAATTCTTTTATCTTTTTCTATATTTGTGATTTGATTTTGGATATGAATAAAAATATGTTTATTGTTTACTAGTTTATATAATAAAATAGCTAATAAAATAGCTTATAAAGGAGAAATAGTTACCCAAATTATTTTTAAGTAAAAATTTAGTCCATAGTTACCCAAATTATTTTTTGTCCATATTTAAGTATTACATGATAAATTTATAATAAAAAATAGTAAGTAATTTGGATGTTGTCTACTTCATAGATCGCATAGAAATATATTCAATATTTCAAGAATTAAAATGTTAAAATTAAAATATTAAGGATCAAAATGAGATACACTCCATACTTTGAAGACCTCTTATACAATTATCCCTAATTATAATAATTTTTAGTGATATACTCAAAAAAACTTTCAAGTTAACCACATAGTCTTGCATGTATAAAGTACAATAATGGACGAGAGAGAGAGAGAGAGAGAAAGACTACCCTTTCAAGTACAGAATGGTCAGATATGATTCCTTGGTTAATGGTTATTAATTTTAATGATATTTGTATAATTTAATCAATCAATTTATTTCTTAATTAATTATAAAGTGGTTATTTGTCAAAGGATAATGATCATAAGGGCAGACAAGGGCCGTCAATACTAAGCTTTGTTTGTAGGGTTACATGTGTCTGTGAGGTAGATACTAAGCTTTGTCTCTCTCTGTTTTAACTTTTATAAAAACAACGGCCGAAAACGGCTTCCAAAACCATGGGATGATAAGGTGGTTCTGAAGGACTAAATATCTATAGATACCTGATAACATTAAAAAATATAAACGACAAGCTTCTGATTTGAAATCATATGTTATGTTGCTTGGAAATGGATCTAGTAATGGGTTTGTTTATTGGAAGTGTGCAAGGATCAATCTTGCAAAGTTTACTTATTTTGGAAGATTAAATTAGAATATTTCTACGGACGGATTCTAGGCCACACAAGATTGAGATGAAAATTCTACAATGATTTTATTCATAGAGCTTAAATAGCCAAATTCGACTTACATGATAAACTAGAAATGAGAAAATACATAAACATCATCCCTTATTCTAATATTATTTAATATATCTAAATCTCTCCGATCTCTGACTTGTCTTTGCAAATACGTACCTAAGAGGATGGATCTACCTCACGACAAGGTCTGGAGCTCAGTGAACATTTAAACCATCACCATCTTCCAAAAAAAAAAAAGAAGATTCGTTAAAAATAGAAGATTCATACGGTGTACCACCTTATAGGTTGGTTGGTGGAGTGGAAGTATCCACCTTATATTGTGTCAGCCCAAATGTGTGTAGGGTGGTGATTATATCAATGAGTTCTCTGATTTACTCTTTTAACCCTTTTAATTGCAAAATTTAGGGATGATATTTTGCATTAAAATGACCAAGAAAGACTAAACTGGATATGCATGGATTGACAACTTGGAAATCGGACCAGCCATCTGTCTCTCTCCAACTTTACCTCCAATTGGGCCATACCAAGACATGTGAATCCCTGGCAAGTGGGCCCTGGTTTTCTTTCTTTTGAGATGAGTCTCTATCCATTTAAAAAGTTTTGAAGAATCTTTTTCCTCACTTACCCTATTTGAAAATTAGCATCAATAATTCTTAATACAATTAGTGATTTCTATAAAGTAAAATACACTTTAGATCTCAAAAAATAAACAAAAAGACTTTTATTTTTTGCGATTGAGATCTCTTTAAATTTTACTTTAAATTTAATCCGACAACTAATATTAACTCTCAAAATTAAATAAGAAAAATAGACATCTAAAAGTGTGTTTTATGTGACTTTTTAAAGTGCTTATAGGACTTTTAACTTCTCATAAGTACTTTTTTTTAAAAAAAAAAAAAAATAGTGTTTAGAACCGTTCCACCACCATCCCACCACCACCACTACTCCACCAACAAACTACCCCTCCCCTCACCATCCCCACCAACAACACCACTACCATTACCACCACCACCACCGTCGTCGTCATCCTCACTACCACTTCTGCCACAACAGCCACTACTGTTGCTGCCACCACCACCACCCCACCCACCGCCTCACCACTACCACCACGATGGTACTCCATCGCCCCACCACTATTCTCACCACCATCACTATCGACACCACTCCACCACCATTACCGCCATCCCACTATCACCACAAACCTACCGCCCCAGCACCACCATCCCCACTACCCCTACCTTACCACCACCTTATCGGCACTGTTCTACTATTACCCTTACTGCCCCACCACCACTCCCACGACCATCATCACCACCACCACCATCGTTGTCATTTCTCTTATTTCTATATTTATGATTTGATTTTAGGTGTGAATACAAATATATTTACTGTTAATTATTTTTTTATTACTCAGTGCCCTCAGGTACAAACAATAACTAATAAATTAATATGACATTACCTAGTATATGTTTAGATTTAATTGATTCGGGTCATAATTGAATTGGCCAACCAGACTGTGTGTGGATCCTGCTCAGGCTTGAATGAACTTGAGTTGAGTTTGAATCAAACTTTTTTCTTTAATAGTGAACCTAAGTTCGAGCAAATCTCAACCCGGACCAAACCAGCCAGAAAGACAGTTCTACCAATGATCAAACACAATAGTTGGGGATGGCAGACACTGATGTGCACATAGTTACCTGAAGCCTGCGTCAAGCGTCTCAATCGAGAGGGAAACCAGGCAGCCCCTTGTGGTGCGGTATGGCAACGGATGATCAACATGTTTTGTATTGACAATCTGTCAGTAATTGAGATAAGAAAGTACAAGCTCAACATTCAGCTCTACTGGTTTATTAGACAATGTAGGAAAAAAAATGTCGATTTAAAACTATAATCAATGAAAAGGTATGCCAAATGTACAAGAAATTCCGCTACATTTAACCACGCGGCTCACCAAAAATTATAAAATGTGTTCAAAAAACACAGGAAGAAAGGGGGGGGGGGGGGGGAATCATACTAGCTTTACATCTGTTTACTACTATGATCTTCACTTCTGTGGAGCAGGCTTCACAAATGAGAAGTCCTCTTCATTCTTGGTCTCTTCCCTATGGTGTGGTACACTTGTTTCAGTTTCTGAATCGTCATGATCGACTTTTAAGATCAAAGTGGTTGTCGATGACATGGGAGAAGATGGATCTGCTTCCATATCAGACATCTCCTGGTCCTCGTGTGCATAAAGTTGGGAGTGACCTGTGGTCTTGAAGCGATGAAGGGTGGCTCCAGAGGAGTTCACAGTTGAACCCATCGACAAATCAGGGCTTGCTTGACCAAGAGTTCGAGTATGGGACTTTCCTGCCTTTCCCCCTTTTTTCTTCTTAACAGCCATTCGCCACTTCTCAAGGGCCTTGGATGTTTGTTCATCAAAGATAGATTTCTTCATGTGTGAACCCATCTGTGAATTTCCAACAGGACAATCATCAGCCAACTAAACAAATTTGCAGACACAATCAGAGCTACAAGACAGATCATCCTTAGACGTTTTTGACACTTATGAGAGAATTCTCTAGGAACACCAAAACTTTTGTGCCGTATTGATATTGGTATAATTGATTTGATATAGTATTTATCAACAAAACGGTAGCTGAATGCATGACGATGCAGCATCTGATACAAGGTTAATATTCTTTACAACAGTTATCTTAGTATAGTTCACCTCTACTAGAAAGAGCTGACTCTTAACTCCTAAATGCGTGAGATTTAGGTAAAAGTAGCATAAAACAGTGATGGTACCTGAACTATAAGGGCATATAGTGGAAGCGTAATATAGCTGCATAAAACTAGGACTGCGCACCTGTGCAAATCACAACAGAAGTTACATTCAATTAGTTCAAAGTCTAGAACCTGAGTAGTAATGTCCATGAACAATGTAGCTAATTCTATTGTGAAATTTGGGGAACAAAAAGGCATACCCTAGAGCAATTTTCGCAATTAACAGCCCGAAATTATCATGGAAGCAAGCTTTCAGCCCATACTCGTACTGCACCGTAGGGAAATATTTATCAGTTTCATCTAAGTGTTAAGAATTATCAAAATAATAACCTAAGATATTGATATCTGAACATAGAAAACAATTCATTACCCATATCCACAAAAAGTATGTTACTTGGAATGCATTCTGCAAGCACCATAAAGCTGATTAGATTGCGAAGAGTAGGGAAAACCACAGAAAGAAAATAAAGCAAAATAAATAAAGATTATAAATAACATGTAGACTGGTGAGTGCAGAAGGAAAATTCTATTTTTAGCGGCTCTGAATCAGGATTAGCTGCTTAATGGTACTTGAGTACATGAGCTCCACAAGAACGTTCAAGCAAATGAATCAGCTGTAGAAAAATTGTCTCTCTATACGTCTGAATGCCCAAATCCTTGTTTTTACTGATCATAGACAAAAAAAGAAAACATATTTTTTCTTGATATTTTTTAAATAAATATAGGGACATCTACCCTGCTAAAACTGACCCCATCCCGGATCTGATGCTATAAAGCACTACAGCTAATTTTTGGCTTTCAAAGTGTCCTCTAAGATATGAAAGATACCCTCGAAGAGGATTGATGCTGAGACTAGATTCGAAACTAGGGAAGGTCAAAGGTGCTTTGATGGAATTACCGGTCCAAGCCCAATTGAATCAATAGATGCGACATTTTTAATCAGTCTAAAGAACTGGACAAGAATGCTGAACTTGAAAAACATGACCATGGCGATATTCTACTCATCTAGATTTAGCTAAAGACCATTTAGATCTATAATTATCGAAAAGGCAGGTCATCAATACCTGAAATAAAGCAAAGTGGATAATATCAAGAACTAACTGGGGCCGACCAAACCAAAAATACTTGTCTGACCCTTGCACAAGAGGCATTCCTTGGACCACTGCATGCCTTTCAGTGATTTCAAGAGCCATCTTTGTCAAAATAGCTTGAAGCTTTGTTCCCACAGCTAAGATTAACTGAGAACAAGTAACAAAGAATTATTTATCGTTCCTATTAATCGGTGAATTACACAACCAAAAAAGGATCCTTACGATCATAGGAATTAAGGACGCCCAAAACAATGCTCTCCACCCTGAAAGATTCATACTATCTTAGTAAGAATCCCAATTTCTGTTTCAGTTGGAATTCGAAAATGATTTTAATAGAAACATATTTTCCAATGAAAAAGTGACTCACCATCAACATTTAGAAGCAAGAAAACCACAAATGATACCCATAACACCGGACTGCCAACAATAAAGAAACTAAGTCAGGATAATTCTTCGAATGCAAGTCAAAAAAACAGTGCATCCAATAGAAGGACCATTACCTGACTCCCACAACTGTCTTGAAGTCATCCTCCAATGACCTCTTGATATACTGTTGGAAGTTAAATTTACTTCCGGGGGCCAAATGGACCTATAGAACAGCTTAATTCATAAAAGTGGAAAAAAAAAAAAGAAAGAGGAGAAAAAGATTAAAAAACATATAAATTACAGAAATACGTGCAATTGGGACTCACAGTGATGAATCCATTCCGCAAGGTCAAGTAGTCAGACTTGCTAACAGACTTGAAAAATTGTCGAAAGAAGCATCCCTGCAAGAGATGAATAATTTAGTTCATTGCTGAAAGTTGCATATCCCACTCGCACTCGTCACCATCTAGCTATTTGTTCTTTCACCTTATCGAAGGGATTGCAAATTTACATGAAAATTGAAGATCAACAAACCAGAGAATAGGTCTCTTACGATGTAAAATAATAATGGAATCCTGGTCCAAAAGCTGGTATGTGCTCTCACAAAAGATGTCTCATGTGAAAGCCTGAATCTCGAAGTATCTGCATGTACCAATTGAGGGGTAAAGATATTTCATTGAGAGCCCTGACTTCAGGACTGAGAAATAGAAAATTAAATTCAAGCTAGAAAGTGAAGGATTAATATATTCTACTTGTAGCAATGATATACCATTGGAAAACTCATAGTCATGGGATGAAGTCTCCTCCTCCCACTGCTTCCAGCCACGAATCTGCATAATATCAGTTTCAGCAAACAATTATTTATTACTCAAGGTAGAATAAGTCTGGCATTTGGAGTAGTAATTGCATGCTACAGAACAACTATGTTGGCACTCGGCAAACAACTCTCCCCGGTGTGCTGTCAATCCAATTCACCACGCATTTCCCTTTCCTCTATGGCTTGGAACTTTCTAGCATGAAACCAATTCCGCGTCCAGTTTAGTTTGTTGAGTCAAGCTAGATATGGGTTCTATAGAATTTCAAGGTGGGAGCAGCGTAAATTCACAAAACAAATAAGCAAAGCTCAAGGTTGTCTAGGCCTCATTAATTTTTCAACCCACTGCTGAAGCTGCTAACCAGCTCAGCTTAGCTTGATTTGGGTACTCCATATCATGAGCTAGGGGATTCGTTGATCGGAAAGCTTAGGCAGGAGTAGGACATTTTATCCAAATCTTTCTGATCCACTAGCTGGTGGTCCTCTCAAAACCATTTCTACAAGTAAGATGCCAGACATAAGCCACCTTGAAAAGTGACATTAACAAACATTGTTTGGGCAGGCATTCCCCAACTAATTCATGGGAAATGATATCGTAAAGAATTTCATATTGCTTAGACAACAATTTGGGTGACACAGCAACTAAATACTTTTGAAGGCTTGAGACAAACAAAAAAAATGTATTTCAATGAGATAAGAAGGTTCAAATGTTGAGTTCAGGCCCCCAGTATGCGTCTCACTTCCTTAAACAGTAGTGTCTCCTATATATATAGGATATCAGTTGAAATATAGAAACATAAAATAAATAAAAAGGTTCCAGCTTTTCAACATACCTTTAATCTCCCAAGTGCCATAGTAACGGCACTGTATACCACATGAATGACTGCTAAGAAGAATATGAGGATGTGTAATTGATGCAGTCCATCAACAGTTATAAGCGGCACTTTCCCCTGTTGGCAACAATCAGATAAGTTAAAATGTTAGACGAAGACTAGATTGCCTACTATCATCCCATACAGTGGTGACAAGTCCTATAGAAAGATCCTACTTAGGAGAAGTCACTAGAAAAGGGATTACCACAAAGGTTGGTTAATTTTGAAGGGGGGAAAAGACAGAAGGCAGCGCTTTTGACATTGTACTCACTGTTGAAAAAGTTCATCATCCCCCTTGGAAATGGAAGTTTTTAACAAAGTTACAGAAATTTGAAAACAATCGGATAAGTTTACAAGTCAATGAAATTGTCATTTCGAAAGAAAATCTAAATTGTAATTTTCTCTTGCAGCCTACAAATTGTTACAAATATTGACAGCCTTGATATTTATTCAATTCGAATCTATCCAATGAACAACATCTAATTCTGTAGTTCTTGCAAAGTGATGGAAACCTGTTGCTTAAATTTAATCTTTCTCTCAGTTAAAGTCAAATTATAATTATGCACCCACTATTGTATTATCAGCACTGAATTTTATTAGCAAGGCAGTAGTAGTTCAAGAAGTGGTAAGCACTTGATGATTATATTGCTATTGTGCCTATAGCAATGTCTGTCCCTTTAGTTGGACATTAGAAAAATTAATCAAACCTAATCAACAGCAAAGATGTTCCTTTGACTCTCACATTATATGGGTGAACAAGACAGATAGAGATGCCCATCAAATTACCATATTTAGCGTTATTATGTATCACTAGCAGTGATATTGTCCATTGAAAGCTAAAATTTCAACAAGGAAGCTGATCATACTACACTCACCTCTTTGCAACCAGAAGATTTACCACCGGCTAATTCTCGACGCTCATACCACAAAAGCTTCCGACGATTTTCCTCTTCATTGTATTTGGAATCAGGTTTGTCAGGCTTAGGACATGGCAACATGGTATCAGCAGCTTTAACGGGAATACAGATATCCGCGATGTAATATTGGCTAAATACCAGGATTAGTGAAATGAAACCGAGAATCATCAACTCTGCAATAATTCAATGGACGTCCATTAAGGATCAAAATCATTTTCTTATTGCACAAGGGGCAAACAAGAAAAAAGAAGAGACACAAATGATGTGTTTACCGGCTTTAACCTTCTCCAAAGCCTCATATAGGGCCTTCTTGTGCTTCTCTGTAAACCACTGCATACAAATTTTGATATTGTCATAATTTCATAACTAATCATAACAGTTGTAAGTAACAACTGAAAAGAAACTAATCAAAATATCTTAAATTGAACAACTTGAACTAATTTCATCAGAAATTAGGAGGAAGATAATTAAAATAGAACTGAAAATAAGGAATTTACTAACTTAACATATCAAGAAAACACATAAAAAAAAGGAAAGAAAAGAATTCCAAAAAAAAATCTAAATTGAAAAGGCAAGCAGAAGAACAACCTACTCAAAGAGTTCCAAAAACAATCAAAAAAGATGAAGCCAAAATTTTAAACCAAATCAAATCAAGCCTTATATCCCAATCATTTGGGTTGGATTTGGCTGAGGAGGAGGGTTGCATTAAGTAGCTGACAACCAACGTAAACCATTGTCGGATCCACCATGAAGCCAAAATTATAAAACTAAATAATGTAAAGGCACCATAAAAGAATCAAACTTTCAGCAAGGCCCTTCCATATAATCCCTGTGAGAAGCCAAAATTAGCTGTCCACATAAAGAAATAACATCAACTCACCCACTAATCTGGGTAAGGAAAAAATACCTATACACTTACATATTATCTGCCATGGGTCAAAATTGAAACAAACCCATGATCTATCTTCATAATATTACCCAAGAGAACCCATTTTTGGCAAAATTTAAGAAGGTATAGCTGCAGAAATGAAAAATACAGTTGAAAGGCTGATATGCTTGAAGTAGTAACGTACATGTCCAAGTTTGTGAATAATCTTCTCCAAGGCAATAGAGATAAGGATGATGACTGCACAGACACCCGCCACCGCCCATGTGGGTGTCTGATCAAGCTCCCTCAACTTTCCATCACCTCCCCCCGCCATTATTCACTCACCCGCAAGCCAATACCCTTCAGAATCCACACAGGTCAAAAAGAACTTGAAGAAATAGAGAGAGAGAGAGAGAGAGAGAGAGAGAGAGAGAGAGAGAGAGGTTTCTGGTATCAATACTTGTCTCAAAATCTGGGTTTGAAGACCATGCACATATTTCTCAAGAATTTTGGATTCAGATAATTATATAATAGTTGCTCAAGAGAAAAAACTAGTTTGGTACCGGTGGAGTCTTGATAGTTTGCGAGACCATTTATTTCAAAGAAGTAGTACTTAGAAAGAGGGCGGAAACACGGAATTAATTTATTATTTTGTCAATTTAATTTATGGAAAACCCACGTTTTCTTGACTTTGAAATGGTAAGAAAGAACAGGAGACGAGGGAGAAGAATGGATAACGGCAGTTTAGGGGAGTTGTCTTGATGAAGTTAATATGTAGATTGCGCTAATTACGGGATGCCCCCAGATTTTCTGAAAATATTATTTGCAACCCCCATCACTTTTTGACTTGTAACAACAGGATTGAGGGAGAGAGTAATGTCAGACTAATCAAAAAACGAAACCAACAAAATGGATCAAGTGATGTAATATTATTATAATGATATTATTGGTTGTGAAATTGGTCATGGGTGTTTAGTGGTTCAGTGCGAGTTATTGCAATGGTGGTAACACACTTGGGGGTGATTGTTTTTGCTGTTTTGCGGGGGTGGGATGGGGTGTAGTGTGGTGTGGTGTATGTGTATGTGTATGTATATGTAATTGTGTGTGAATTTGTGAGCGGGGAGAAGAAAATGATCATAAAGAAAGGATCGTTTGGTTTTCAGATTAATTTTGGACGGAAAAAGAAAAAGGGTTGTTTGGGCAATGTGATTGAAATTTTATAGATTTTACAAGTTTTTAGTTGAAGGACAGAACTGATTGTAATTGCAAGATATATAGTACTGATTTTTTTTATTGTTTTTGGTATCGTATCTTTGATATTATTTTTATGATAAATTTACAATTGCTCTAGAAAAAATTATGATCAATCATAGATACTCATGTTCGATAATGAGCTCTTGATATCGTTCATAATCTTTCATGATAGATCATGTCTTAAGTTGTAACTTACATATCAAAAAAATTGTAATTTAGCCTTAAAAAGTTGTGATTTTGAGTACAATAACTCCAACGGTTAGAGGTAACAATGTGTCGTGTTCGTATTATGTTATTTTTGGTTCATATCAAGCATTAATCAATCATAACCTAACTTGTTTAATTAATTATATCATGTCGTGTTCTTGTTGATCTATATAACTCGTGAATAAAAAATTTAATACTCAATTTTATATCTAAAATTTCATTATCATCTAATCAAATTTATTTTCATACTTTTTCTATAAACTAAAAATTAACTTAATAAATATAACAATAATAATAATAAATAAAAATATCTTTTTTTTACAAGAATTAAATCACTATTTGATAAAATATTATAAAAAAAAAAACTACTTAAACATGTTAATCATATTAATTTCATGTGATTTTTGTGTTTAACATTAATTCAATCCATTTATTATTCATGTTAACGAGTCGTGTCATATACAAATTCACGTTAAGAAATGACAAATAATAACTCACTAATTTATATGTCGATTTCAAATCATATTTTTGTGTTGAGTACAAAATTATCACTTCTCATCCGTACCATAACTTTTCTCATTAATTTTAAGGAAGTACAACGATGTACCAAAAAGTTTAAGAGGATGTCTTAAGAGGGTCTGTGGGAGTGGTATATCAATCTTATTTTAAAAATTCTTAAAAAAATATATTATTTTGATATTTATATAATAAAATAAGAGTGTGTTTGAATTTTATCTCAGTCATATTTTTTTCTCAAAATCATCATCAATCACTTACCTCACTCATCATCCCTTTGTCAGACTCAAACGTCAAATTACATCACTCATTTCTATCATATATTTAATCATTTATATATTTCTTCTCTAAAAATATCACACCAATCATTTATATCATATATTTAATTATTCAATATTTAATTAATTTATAGTTAATATATTTTAAAAAAATTTAATATAATAGGATCGATTTTTTGAACGTTCAAATTTTATATTTTATTGTGCATTCAGACACGAGTTATGGCTATTACTTTAATAATTTGTAGTTGACCATGAATGGTATACAGAGGCAAGTGGGCATTTATAATGAATGAATAGGTCATTAGATATTTTGTTGAACAAAAACTAGAAATGGCATGTAAACGAGAAAAGGACTAGGCTCGTGGTCCACCATAATAATAATAATAATAAGAAGAAATTAGGTCACCAAAGTTGACTACCAAGTTTGTTTGGACTACTTCTCCAATTTCTCTCTATTTATTTATATACTTTTCTATTTCTTGTGATTTTGAGTAAAATACAATTCTACCTGTATAATCAAAGATTAAGGGCAAGCATTGATTGATAGTTGCGAGGTCATGGGTGTTTAGTGGTCCTTATCATTTAGGTTTGTTAATAAATCATAGGTTAATTGCATTAGAAATTTTTAAAATATGGGGTTTATCTTATTTTAGTTATTAATATTTTTAATTGTATTATTTTAGGTCATGAAGTATTAAATATATTTTTATGTAGTCCTAAAACAGACAATTTTCAGATTTTTAATAATTTTTTATTATAAATTTGTCACATAATACTTAAATATGAATAAAAAAATAATTTAAATAACTCTTAATCAAATTTTTACTTAAAGAGTTACTTAAATTACATAATTTTAATTATGAGTTATCTAACTTTTGGTCAAGAGCTACCCATATTACACATTTTTTTATAAGAGTTACCCAAATTATCTTTTACTCATATTTAGATATCACGTGATAAATTTATAATAAAAAAAAATTGTTGATAAATTGGATGTTGTCCATTTCAGGGATTACATAAAAACATATTCAATACTTTAGGGACCAATATAATGTACTTAAAATATTAAAAACTAAAATGAGACAATTTAAGAACCTCCTAAATTCATATTTTTATTTGAATTTGGTCAAAATCCTAATTTCATTACAATGTTTGTGGAATAATGATATGGTTGTTCTGATTATCTAGATTCGAATTTATTATGCTATGCTAACATTGGATCCAATTAGGATCTGACCCGATTGGTGTATTTTTATATAGTGAAATTCGGTGATTATTTAACTAATTTGAGTTTAATGTCATGTATAGTTATAATTGAGTTTAATGTCATGTATATTTTAAGTTATATGATTGAGTTATTTGGGATGACAACCTTCCATCTAATTACTCTTTATCCAGAAGTTGAGAGTTCGAGTCCTGAAGTTTTCAATAGGGTTTGGTGGTTGGCCGCTATGCTAGCCTAGTTAGATGTGATCTCGAGAGATGTTTCAGGCACGGTCAGAGATTTTATAATTCCTCTGTTGAGGCCCTAATGGGGTAGTCGATGGACGCTCTTTCTTACCCCCCACCCCTTTTTTAATTATCAAAAAAAAAAGATTACGCTTTAATTTGAACATTTATATTTATATAGTGAAATTGTGGGATTACTTAACAAATTTAAGTTTAATGTCCTATATAATTTTCTTATATGCAGTTCTAACTGAGTTATTTAGGACAATTAGATATCTGGCGCGTTGCAAGTGGGTTGTTACAATAATAAGTCAATTGATTTATTGTAAGATACAAATCAAACGTATGACTAGGACAAATGATCACAGAACATGGCTTGCCTTTCTTTGGAGGGCAAATTTCATAAAGATTTCAAGATTTTTATTTTTCATTTTCAAAGATTAAATTCTTTATATTATACTCTCAATGTATTAAAAGCATTGCATTACTTTGTACTTTGTTAGATTTTCATTAGTTTTTTTTGTCATTGGATTGGCTTTTAAAGAAAAATATAACAGAAGATAATAAAAGAGTCACATTATAATACTTTTAATACATTGAGAATATAATGTGATAAATTTAATATTTGAATATATAAAATAAAAAATTTAAATTCTTTCAGGATGTAAAGTGCAAAAAATCCTTCTATAAAAAATTTCACTATTACTAATATAATATGATGGAAGTTTGGAACAGAGTGTTGGACGGGTAAGAAAGAACACGTTTACAAATTAATTGCAGCGAAAATAAGAATATTAAAATGAATGTGTGGTAAAACTAAGAAAGATAAAATTGAGAAGTATATTATCCGTGAAAAAGTAGAGTAATAGTTCCTATAAGGAATAAATTAAGGAAGAATCAATTTACGTGTTTGGATATATCTATAGACGGTTTACTACGGCACTGCTAATAAAGAATGATATAATAATTATTGAAAATAAACGTAGACCAAAATTAACTTTAAGTGAAATAATAAAGAAAAACATGATAATCCATAGTTTAATAGAAAACATGACCGACGATGATAAAGTATAACGGCAAAATAGAATTCATGTAACCGACCCAAAAAATATTAGAATAAGACTTTGTTGAATTGAGTAGAATTTAGAATAATAGATAGAACGATAAAAAGATGAAAAAAAACATGAGTAATACATTTTCTATCACTTAAAAAAAGAATCATTTGTTTTCTCTTTTGTATATTTTCTTACCAAACATGATATGTCATCAATTTTTTCCACAATCAAAAATTTTGTATTGAAATTGAAGATAAGTAAGGTACATGAAAAGTGTGTTGAAAAATAGTAAACTTGGTAAGTTTGAAAATGAAATTTTCAACCATGAGTTGCTACGTAGTGAGATATATAAGTCGTGGATAAATTGCGTTGAAAGTAAATATTTTCTCATGACCACGAAACTGTTAGTTCAGTGACTAATAATTCGGATTTATTCCCTTAATATTTGAGTTTAATTTTCTATATCTATGATCGTTCCGTGGAACTAAATCTATTCTTCAGTGCAGTGTTTAGAGTACATAATAGGATCTTAGTTTTGACTTCAAAAGTTGGTTTGGTGGGATCTCTTATAAATAATTGTGTAATGTAGATTCAATAAATATAGGATTAGGGAGTAGCAAATACAATAAATATGAAAAGATCTAATGGTCTATTTGGTAA